TCTCTGTGCCTTCTCATGTATAAAGTGCAGTATCTACTTCATAAGGTTGTTCTCAGATCCCAATGAGTTAATACAGTAAAGCTTTGAAATAACAGTGACTGTCACTCATTATGTAAAATAGTTGAAGGGATGAATGTATTAATCCCTGAATAAATGAACAAATGAAGGAACACTTCTAAAGATGATCAATCAGCTTCAGTTTAAACATTTCAGGTAAGAGGATGAGCACATTTCTGTTAATGTTCTCAGCTCTAGTTTTTAGTAAGTTCATTTTATGTTACATGAAATCTCCCTCCCTGCAACTTGGGTCTATCTGGCCCTTATTCTTCTGAGAATACATAGAACAAGTTTTTCCATTTACTACAGCCATTCAAATAATTGTAGCTGGTTTACTTTCCTCCCCAGATCTTCTGTTTTCCCAGCTAAAGTATCTCAGTTCTTTCAACTATTCCTTGCTAATATGTTTTCAAATCTTTTCAGCATCCTGATAGCTCAAGAAATTAAATTCCAATCCACCATATATCCCTCCCAATTTTCTATGTTCTATGTTCCGGATACTTTCCAGAAGATATAAACTATTACTTTACCCGCTGGGGACACTGTATTCCTTCAAGGCAGCCTAATATTACATTATCTTTGGGGTAGGAAGGCTGGTTTATCATACCCTGACTCACATAATCCATTTGTAACCAACTAGAATAACTAAACCTTATCTGCATGTTCCTAACCACGTCCTATCTTACACAACTGAACTAGCTAGATTTGGAAGTGTATCTACAGAACTATCTTAAATCTATTTCCTGGACTCAGGCTTATTGGTCCAGCCTGTGGCTAATTCTGTTAACCAGCTCTTTAGGCAGACTGTCAAGTTTCGTGTCAACCCTGAGGAAGTGTAAACAGAAAAGAAAATCATAGTATGCAGTGGTGCAGAGGGTGTGTTGCTAGAAGGAGGTTGGCTGGAGGCCAGACAGGGTGCTCCCCAAGGAGACAGTACTCAGATTCATCCCCTACATTCCAGGGTCAGTCCTCGGTCCCCACTCTCACAAACTCCAACACTCCATCTCAACAGTGTGCCAGAGCTGTTCAGGTTGAGATTCACAAAGATGACTGCATATGAACAGATACTTTGTTTTTACTTTATAGTGTGAAATACAAATGTGAAGAGAATAGTAGCTCCTGGTTTTTTAATGTTTACTGTGTGTCAAACACAGTTCTGAGGATTCTACACATATTATTTCATATATTTCTCAAATCTCTGAGTTAGGTGCATCTTACAGATGAGAAAGCAGAGCAGGTACTCTTCGAATCCTTCCCTCTCACTCAGTTCAGGCAGCTGGCTCCAAGTCCTGTTGCCAAGTGTCCAGTTATCCAGCCTTTTGTATCCATCCCCTCCCTTCTACTCTCCTGTCACCATCCTAGTTGTGGCCCTCATCTCGTCACACTTCCATCATTTCCACAGCTCATTCTCTCCCTTCTCTGGTCCGTTTCTACACTGCCACTTATATTTCTAAGACACAGCTTTCAGTACGCCATTCTTCTTGTTTAAAGCCATTAATGGTTCCTTGTTGCCATAGAATAAGAACTCAGATTCCTTGGCATGGCCCAAAGGTCCTTCATCTTAGAGTCTGTAATTCACCTCCTGCCACTCCCCCTCCCCCCCCCCGCCTTCCTGGACCCTCCTCAGCCTCTCCTCCTCCTCAAAGGTTTGTCAACAACATTGTAAACTGACTGTACTTCAATTTTTAAAAATTGTATCTTAGAAAGTTTACATTAGTAGCCATCTGGGTCAACTCATAATTGTCTGGACTGACACACTGAACTGCTATATCCACCTGTGTGCAACAAAGATTTACTGTGCACCTACCATGTCATGCATAGGCCACACATCTTACCTGCATTCTCCTATTTAATGGTAACAAGAACCCTATGAGGTAAGCACTATCACCTTCCCTTTTAGAGATAAAGAGACTGAAGCATAGAAGGTCAACTTGCTGAGTGTCATACAGCTTAATGTGAGAGGGGTTGCTTGCTTGACCCCAGAACCAGGCACTTTCCCACCGACTCCCTACTTCTGGCTCGGCTGGGTCTAATCCGTACTCCTGGATTACGAACTCCTTGCAGGCAGGAACAGTGTCCGCTTTGTATCTAGTGTGTAGCTCCATGCCTGTGAATGTTGTCATTTCAAATGTATGTCTGACCCACAGAAAGGAGAAGGAATGTGTCCCAGCCAAGCCCGGAGAACACTTGTTCGGCCTGAGAAGTCCAAGTGAGGTTCACTGCTAACAGTGAAGTTGTGGGAACTGCCAGACTGCTGAGGTCCAAACTTACCGAAGGCGCCGATCTCCGCAGCGAGTTCCTAGTCACAGCATCTGCCCAAGGTCTCCGTTTACTGCGGTTGCCAACGGCAACACCACCCCGCCTCCGGGAGGGCGGAGACAGGCGTCCGTGAAGCGCATGCGCCACCTAGAAGCAGCTTTTTAGAGAAATACCGCAGCGGTGCCCGGAGGACACTCAATCTCACTTGCCTTTCTGGTGCTGGCTATTTCGTGGTCCATGACTCAAGATCAAAGCCAAACAGAAAGCCCAGCATTTTATCAGCTTATTATCCCAGTTTAATTTTTATGTCCAGCTATATTATTATCATCATCCTAAGGATGCTTCATTGATAATTAAATGAAATGATCTGAACAATTTTGAAAATATGCCTAATGATACAAAATGGCTCAAAGGGGTCCTGATCGCACACGATCATCAATAGATACGTCGCAGGGCGAATTTCCTTTTACTTCTTTGTTTTACACTATGTTATCTTGTTGTCCTTTAAAAGTAAATATTTTATGTTGTGGGCTCCTTGGTCACGGGACTCTAGGCGCACAAAATACAGGCCTAGCTCGCAGATTTCTCGGTTCAGCATCTGCTCTTCAACTGCTCTGTGGCACAGTCAGCAATTATACTTATTTTTAAGTACCTAACTAATCTGACTGCTTACAAAATGTTTTGAAACGGCTACAACTTCGCAATGTGACAAACGACTTTATGCCCAGAGTAGGTAAACGATTCTTGTAATTCAATAAGAAAAAAACAATCACCTAATTTTTAAATAGGCATAGGACTTTGAATACTTCACCACATCAGATGTACGAGTCGTCAATAAACACATGCACAGATGTTTAACAGTAGGCCCCAGGGAGATGCACACTACAATGTTTACACTCCGCACCCACTGGAATGGATAAACGTTTTAAAACTGCACCAAATGTGGAAGGATGTGGAGCAAATGGAATTCTCATATACTGCTGTTGGGAATGCACAGTAGCACAACCACTTTGAGACAACATTTGGCAGCTTCTTTAAAAGTTAGATACATAACAAGCCATTCCATGTCCAGGGTATTACCCAAGAAAATCAAAAACATCTGTCCAAAGCTTGAACATGAATGTTCACAGCAGCCATATTCATAAATAGCAGAAACTGGAAACAACCCAAATGGCCATTGACAGGTGAATGGATAAGTATCTATAAAATGGAATACTGCTCAGGAGTAAAAAGGAAGAAACTGATACACACAGCATGGATGAATCTCAATAAGGATGAGTGAAAGAAGCCAGGCACGAACAATAATACAGTGTGTGTGATCCCATTTATATAAAATGCAAACCAATCTATCGTGACAAAAAGCAGATCAGTGGCTGCCTAGGGCTGGAGCCAAGGGAGAGATGCACTGCAGAGACAGGAGGAATCTTTTAGAGATGGCAGAAATGGTCTTAATTGTAGTGGTGGTTTGTGTGTATATATAACTGCCAAAAGTCAATGAATTGTTCTCTTTAAATGTATGTATGGATGTCGTTTATTGTCTATAAATTATTTCTCAATAAAGTTGATAAGAAAAAGATGTCTGTATTGTATTTTATTAGTTCCATAATGTTCCACAATGATCTTCCAAAAATGTTGTACCATGCATTTGTTGGGAATATTAAAATGTTCTCCTTAGTCAAGTATTCTGCAGGATTAAAAAACAAGAGCATTATCCTTGCTGTTAATTATTAAATAGTACATCCAGGGTGTCAAAAAGCCAGAAAACATAGGATAAACTAATTTTTTTATTGAAGTATAGTCAGTTTACAGTGTATCAATTTCTGGTGTACTGCATGTTTCAGTCATAAATATATATGCATATATTCCTTTTCATATTTTTTTCATTATAGGTTACTACAAGATCTTGAATATCTTATGGTATACAGTATACTGTATAAACTTGTTTATCTACTTTATATATAGTAGCTTGTATCTGTGAATCTTGCACTCCCAGTTTTACCCTTCCCACCTCCCTTCCCCTCTGGTAACCATAAGTTTGTTTTCTGTGTCTGAGTCTTTCTGCTTTGTAAATAAGTTCACTTGTGCTGAACACTGGAATTTGACACAACACTGTAAAATGATTATGAATCAATAAAAAATGTAAAAAAAAAAAAGATATATTCTTCCTTAAACATGTTAAAAATGAATACTAATAATAAGAAAGTAATACTGGAGTTTCACATACATTTTCATTTCATCTTAATAAATTATTCACCATAAAAAAAAAAATAAGTTCACTTGTGTCTTTTTTTAAGATTCCACATATAAATGATGCCATGTGGTATTTTTTTCTTTCTGGCTTACATCACTTAGAATGATGATCTCCAGGTCCATCCATGTTGCTGCATATGGCATTATTTTATTCTTTTTATGGTTGAGTAGTATTCCATTATATATAAATACTATATCTTCTTTATCCAGTCATCTGTTGATGGATATTTAGGTTGTTTCCATGTCTTGGCTATTGTAAATAGTGCTGCGATGAACATTGGGGTACATGCATCTTTTCGAATCACTTTCCTCTGGATATACATCCAGGACTGGGATTGCTGGATCATATGGTAAGTCTACTTTTAGTTTTTTAAGTAATCTCTATATTGCTTTCCATAGTGGCTGCACCAACTGCATTCCCATCAGCAGTGCAGGAGGATTCCCTTTTCTCCACACCTTCAGTACTCGATAAACTTATTTTTAAACAGCATGTTGGTTACATTTTTCAAATAATATGCTCAACAAGTTTTATTTCAATCTCCAAACATCTTTTCAGGTGAAACAGCTCTAAATTTAAAGCACTGGCTCCAGTTATTAGTTTGAGAAAAACACAAATTCACTACAGAATGTCTGAAAAAGTCCAGAAACACAGAAGGAACAGTGTACTTATTTGCACACCAAAAACTTGGCAGTCATCATTACTGAGTGCTTGTGAGTCAGGTCCTTGTTCTTAACATACTTACATATAGGTACCTCACTTAATCCTCACAGCCCTCTAAGAAAGGTATTCTCCCTGACTTTCAAGTGGGAAAAATGAGGTTAATTTGCCCAAGGGACACAGCCCAAGTAACAGAGATGGCACGAGAACCCAAGTTTTCTGATGACAACCCTTGCGCCCTTGGCCACTATGCTATATTAGTTATTTCTTTTCAGTTAGCACAAGTCCAATAGTTGTTTTAGAAAAGAGCTTCAAGTCCTAGCTTCCTTTCTCACAAGCACGCTGACATTGGGTCACTTACTCCACCTCTAGAGCTCAGCTTCCTCGTCTGTAAAGGGCGGTGGGTGGCATCTAAACATGACTAACTCATAGGCTTACTGTGCGATTTAAACAGATAAGGGGCTAGTGCAGCTCAGCACCATGCCTGCCACAGGACTAGCTCAATAAGGCACACCTACCACCTCACAGGGCTTCCACAGCACTCGCCGGGAGAGGGCAGTGCAGCACAGGCCCTGGAGAAAGACGGCCTACCTCCCCAGTCTAGTGCCGCCACTCCCTGCTTACGTGACCTTAAGAGACTGCTCACCTCCTCGTACCTCATTTCTTCATCGGCAGAGTAAGGATACAGTACTTACCTCATAACGGTGTCATGAAGTCTGTGGCTAAAACAGTACCTTCACAAAAAGTAAACAGTTACTAAATTCTGCCAATCCAAATGATTTTGCTATACAGTATAGGAATGATTATACCCTCAACTGTGGATTGAACTATCAATCTAGCTTCTCTTTCAAGCTGCAAACTGGAGAACTGTAAATTTTATTAAAGTTTAGCAAGTGATCAGCAGCTTTCTGGGGCTGGAAATTGGGGGACCCATATGTTATTAAAAAAAAAAAACTTGCTTCTAAACACAGGTAATGAGTTTGGACTGTTAAAAGAAAATACAAATGCAGTACATCACAGTCAAATATAGCAGAGTTCCCCTGTCTGCAACGCTACAGATCAATGGTTCTCAAATTTGAACACGCACCAACTCACATGAAAGGCGTATTAAAAGAGCTTCTGATCAGTAGATCTGGGGTAGAGCCCAAGAACTCTCATTTCTAACGTAGTGAGGTGATGCTGACACTGCTGGTTGGGGCTCAAGACCCACTGATGCAGCTGGCTCTGAAAGCTGATAAAGAGGGGCTGATGAAGGTAATTAAAACCAAATATGCACTAATTATGACTTGGGGATAACAAATGTCTTTATAATGATGATTCTCAAGCTTGGCTGTGCACTGGAATCATCTCAGGAGGTTTTTAAAACACAAATGTTTCTGTCCTTCCCCCAAAGATTCTAATTTAACTAGTCTGGGGTGAGGATTAGGCACCGGGAATTTTAGAAGGTCCCCAAATGACTCTAACGGCAGCTAAAGTTGAGAAGCACTACTTCAGACAGCCTAAGAAAGAAAGGCCCCTTTCTCTGCATCTATTATTCTTGGAGTTTTGTCAATCTGCTTTTGCATTTTATCAGCAAAAACAAATATGAACAGGATGAATACTTAAATGTCAGCTCCACAGGTTGCCAGTGAGCTAGTGGCAAAAGGTTTTTTTGTTTTGGTTCTCAACTCTGGCTGCACGTTAAATCAACCTTGAGCAGCTTTTAAAAATGTCATACCAAGGCATTTTAGAGGTTTAAAGAAATACACAGGAAAAACAAAGAGCCAACCAGCTGGAGAATATTAAGGAAAATACATGTCAAAAGAATGCATTCACAAACAATGTGGACACCTTGACATCTCAATAATATAAGGAGTAACACTAAAATTTTTTAATATCCCAGACAAGAATAGTATTTATTAAATACCAAGTGTCAAAAAGTGCAATGCAGATGCAACACTCTGCAATAATGCAAATATATACAGATGACTTCACGTAAATAAAATCAGTGATACCAGAAGAAAATGTTTTTGCCACAATGAAGAGGCCCAAATGAAAGATGAATAGGATGCTTCCTAGAACAGTGACTTTTAACTTCAGGAGGTGGGAAGGTGTTGTCTGAGGAAGTTCCCCAAGAAGTTTCAGGGTGTTTCCCCCACCCCATGCCCATCACACTTAGACTGAGAATTCCTATAAGAGCCAAGGAGCAGAGACCATTCAAAAGGCAAGTTTAAAACAGGAACTAATAACTGAGACCAAACAGGTGCCTAGAAGAAAAATCTACCCTGAAAGTACAGTAGATTCAGGGCTGGGAAAACTGATAGCCATGTTTTGTACTCCACTCTGTTTCAAACATTAAAGAAACCAATAAATCAATGTTACTGAATTTAGATAATTGAGCTCAATGATCGTTATTTATTTGATATACATTGCCAATACTGATGACATTTTCAGATTTAAAGGCTACGTAAGAAGTTTATAATATTGTATATATTATATACAACCACCCTTACCTGCTGAAGTAAATATAAACAAATATTCTCACACTTACTTTTTAAAAGTATACACTCACTTAATGGAAAAAAGTGATGGACTACAGTGACTTCCCCTAAAAGGAGGTGTTAAATTTTTCCGAAAGCCAGATTTTCATCACACAGAGGCATTTTATTGTAAGTTATATGCAAAGAGCAACTTAGTTCTTCAGAAAAAGATAAAAATAAAATATATCAATATTTAAGACATACTAGACCCCCCAAAAAAACCTGAATAAAGATGATAAAGATAAAAAGATATTAATCCAAAAAACCCTTGAGTGTATTAAGATACAAAACTTTAATTTCCCTCTAGTCAAAATTTTATTCACAAGAGGTTGTAGATTGGTTGATTGCTAGAAATCTATTCGAAAGGTCAAAAAATCACAATAATTGCTTTATTTCTTTGTTCCATTAGAACTAAGTCACGAGATCTTTGTAAGTTTTATCTGAAAGAAGAACACAAAAACTTGAGAGCAGGAGCAGGGAAAGGGGAGTAGGAAGTCAAGAATATATTACTGAGAGCAAACTGTGAAACTCAACCTCGCTTACGACACGTGGGCAGAAAGAGCAAACCAGCCTTCCTCATTTTGTTTCTCGGTCTGTTGAACAAAGATGCAAAAAGGATTTAGAAAGTAATCAGGAACATGAGACCATTCAAGATTTACAATTATTTATCAAGTACACAGAACCAAAGTTATCCTATACTGCTGAAAGGTACTGAAAATTAAATTGCTACTGGCAATTTTTATTCTCTAACAGAGACACTCCCAAATATTCCCT